GAAGCTGTCTAAAGTGGGCAGCCACAAATGACAAGCGTCTGCTACAATAATGTTTCATGAAAACAGCAGTAAGCAAATTGTGTAAGCTGTTTGGCTTCTACTATTAAGAAATACATGCAGCAAAAAGATTGTAAGGAAATACACAGAAACGTTAATTCTGACTGTCTTTATGTTGGATTGTGGGTAATATTTTCCTTATGTTGTGTTTTCAAATTTTTCCATAATGAAACTATTTCCTTGTAAATTAGACAGAAGAGAACTTTCCATTTAAGAATGGCAGATGAAAATAATTAATGCCTTCCTACATGGATGAAAAATCTTGAAACTCCTTATTATATTTGATAACCTCTTTTTGTAAAACAGGCAAATGATAAATTTAAAAAAAAAAAAAAAAGCAAAATCCAAAGCCAAAAAGTTACTCTTTTGTCTAAATTGAAGTTAAAATTTCCTGTGGCTTAGGCTAAGTGTATACAGTGGCTGCTGATCACATCAGGGTCACAGTTTTGAAATCAGAAAGGCCTCAGATATCCTTTCCTCAACTTTATAGCATTCATCTCAATTTAAGTTTCAAAAAACACAACCATACATGATATATACACATATTCATGCACATTTACCTGTTTTATATCTTTCCTAGTAGACACAAAAGCAGGGCTATGACTCCTCAGTGCCCACCACACTGTAGTCATGTACTAGGTATTTACTAGTTACCTGTAATGGATGTTAATGGTGAAATCACAAAGGAAGGGACCATTGTCTCTAACTGCAAAGTCTTCCAGTTCTACCAGCTGACTGGCCCTCACTGAGATAGCTGTTGACTGCATGGGATGTCATTCTGCTGCTCCCCACGCCTTACTGGGATATCAGAAATTCTAGAGCTCTCTTAAGCTCATCTGTTTACATGTCCCTTGGAGACCTTTCTGCAGCTCCTTACTCTTGCAGGACACAAGAAAATGTGGGGGTTCTACAATCCTTTAAGCCCTACTTTGGAGGGAAAGCACAGGTCTCTTGCTCTCAGGCCTTCCTACCCATCTTGGAGTTCTCTTTTTAGCTGCCTTTCTGGACCTGGCCTACAGCACAGCAACTATTTTCAAGGGCTCAGCAGTTTCTAATTGTTTACCTGCCTTCTGACCCTCTCCCCTTCCCCTGGTCTAAGGAAAGATCTCTTTCTCACCCAGCAGCAGGAAGAATGCTCACCCACTCATCGTTCATATGTTCCCCCAGATCCTTTCTCTTTAGCCTTGGTCTTTCCTTTAAAAAGTCAAAAGGCAGGTGTTTGACTCATATTCTCTTTAGTCCTCTTTTTCCTGAAGCAGTGTATGCTGCTGGTTGAATGGGGAAAATGTGAAAATTTGGAGAAAAATAATCCTTAATTAATAGCTCAAAAGTATCATCTTCCCCATTTCTACAAAAGGTGGACCAATTTCAAGGGAATGAAATGAACCATAGCTTTTCCAGATTTCCAAAGTCATTCTCTGAAGTTTGTTAGTTCACTGATTCTAGAAAGAAAGAAAGCATGTAACTTGGGAAGTTTGCAAAATGAGTATGTCTCCAGGGAATGCCTTGTCTTGCCACTGTCATGAAGTTTCTCCCGAACAGTTGAGGCTGTGATAAAATAAATATCTGTCATGTTATTTAGGAAGGATGACAGGCTGAGAATCACTGAGCAAGTGACAAGCTGTCCTTGACTTGGTAAGTTTCCATGCTGTCTTAGGCGGATATGGATCTCGTATTAAGTGATATGCAATGAGAGTTTCCTCTGTCAGCTCAGTGACATGATTTCAGGCAAGGAAGGTGAATGTCTCCGCGTCAGCTAGAGATGATTGTAACAGATATCACCTGTCTTAATAGCCCTACCTTCATCTGCTACACTTTGGGCAAATAAGATTGTATGCTTTATCATCAGGGTGCCAGGCGGGTCTCAGGTAGCTACATTTTATATGTAAAATCTCATGCTCTGCTGCACAGTAGTTGGTGTTTGCAAGGAAAAATAAGTATCTTGATGCTTTTTATAGCATTTGTTCCTTCACAGCAAGAAAATATTGCAAGTTTGTAAGACTTTATATTGCCATGCTTAACCACTGTGACTTTTTTAACTGCATGCCAGCTGGGGTACAGTAAATTACCGAAAAAGCTCCATGAGGATGTCATTGTGCTTTGCCTGCTGCTTTGTAATCTTCAGCAGTTACAAAAAAACAGTCTTGTTTGTCATTTCAAGCTTCTTTGGGTGTACTAGCAGTCTGAAATGCCACTCCTAATAACATTAGGTCATTTTAAACCAAATTCTTGATAGAACAGTCGTTCTACAGAATGTTACCAAGCAAGCATTTTTCTAGAATCGACTGCTTATTAAGTAGGATCCTAATAGGGTGTTTAAAACCAATGTGAAAACACCTGTTGGGGGAAGGGAGCCAAGTGTTTCAGCTTTCTGTATTGCGTCAGATTTAAAGACACCTGTGAATGGCCTCGTGGAGTCCTTGCTTGTGAGGCTCCTGACGCACAGCTGCCCTTTCTCATGCAAATTGGGCTGTTCTTTGCGGAAGCAGCCAGCGCCTGCTGGTGGTTGTCTTTTGGGGATGGGATGAGTTCACAATGTGAAGACGAAGGAGGATATTTTAAGTGAAGAAAATATTAAAGGACTCAAGTTTTAGGGTAAGTGACCTCCCAGTAATGGTCATCTTGTGTTAGAAGGTTTTCCTCATGAGACTTTTGGAGAATGGACACTTAACCCAGTTTTTATTGCTCTGGGGAAAAAAGTCAAACGTTCCCCAACCCCGGAGTAGGCTAAGGGTACTTTCTACGTTTTCCTGCCTAAGCTCTCAGCTTCTGGGACAGATTTCCTAACTAAGAATTGTAATGAAGTTTCTTTTAATTGTATTCTTTCACTGAAAAATGGGATATGCTGACTGAAGTATCAAAACTTCTAGACCCTGAATATGAAACTCGAAGAAAGCGCTACCTATGTTAATGCCTGAGGAAATTACGGTTCTTCCATCGTAAAACAGAGGGAGAGGCTTGTTTGAATTAGTGAAAAGTTAATAGTACAATCACATTTTTAAAAATGGGAGAAGCTCTTCTCATCAATGTAATTGGAGCTGGTACTTGGCTAAGAAAAAGGAAACAATTTTAAAGTAAAACGACATTAAAACATTTATATCAACTTAAAATATATCATTGTATATTTTTTCCAGTTTTTGGCTGTATAGCCAACATCTAATGTCCTCTGGTTAGAGACTCCTTCATCTTTTTTGCTTAAACTATACCCATAAGATATATATTATTTTTAGGACCTAGTTTTCCAGGTTTATCTTCTGTAACACTCTGAATTCAGAATACTAGATTTTCACATTTTTAACCTTTTTTAGAACTGTCTTGTAGGTTACTTGATAGCTTTTTATTTTTGCAACTTGTCATTTTCAAGTTTTTTGGTAATCATTTGACTTAGTTTTCCTAGCGAAGATAACTCTTTTTTTTTTTTTTTTTTTTTTTTTTTTTT